AAAAACCGACTTTCGGAATCTTTGAGTTTCAGAAATTCTTAGCGTCCGCTGACTAGATGGTCCCCCATTTTGAGAGAGAGTTAATAAATTTTCAAAATTGTACTTCTTAACTAAAATACATGCGGAAAATCGCAGCGGTGCGACAAACGAAGACTCAAGTCTATCGCATTTCATAGTTTGTGGAATCCAGAATGAAATACAGAGTGCGACGTCCAAATAAAACTCGAATTTTCAATTTAATCGATCCTGTTTTCCAATCTTTTTGACTGAAAACTATTAAGTCGCAATTTAAGAAAGGTAAAAGGCGTTAACATCACGGCATGTGCGATCGGCGATATCGCAAAACGCACGTCTGAACTCCGCGATGGGAGGAGCCCGACTTGCGACTCGCGAATTTTAATGGCGGATTTTTGCGGTTCGCCAATGGTGCGCTCTTGCGAGTCTTCCGCTCCCGCTCCGAGATTCAACGTATATACGATTCAACGATATTTCAACGTACGATTCAAAGATGTATACGTATATACATCACGCATTACGTGATTTGATTTGAGGAGAGCTTCTCGAAGCGAGCGCGCGTGGGACACGCTGCCTTGTCGCGTGCCTTGCCACTTCTTCAGTGTCGCTCAAATCGTAAGATCCTCTTGTGCAAAATGGGGTGCATGGGATTATTTCATAAGATTAAGCACTGCGGATTATTTACATAATATTAGAAAAATTGAAATTTGCAGAGATTTATCGAGGATAATCTCAAAGACAGTAAGCGGCGCAGGATGTGGCGTGTCCAACAGACATAGGAAAAGGAGTCGAATGAAATTTTCTATCATGGTGTGGAGCAGTGTATTAGATAGGAGACAACTCGCTTACCGTTTCGACATACGAATGATATCATCGCTCGCAGGAGCGGATTCAGTCATTCTAATAGCACTCGACATGCGCGCGCGCGCGCATTCACTTATTACAAGCAATAAATAGCACCGAATTTTTTAATATTCTGTTCTATCCAACTGTGTGTATACGTATATTAGTATATAGTTATGCATAACAATTTATTATTATCAAATTTTTATGCTATCGATATTGCGAAATAATATATATAAAAATTCCACATTTCTCTCTCATATAAAGTATCCGTTCAAAAATATTTGCAATATGTAAATATATGTTACCTATTTTAATAATTATTTAGACTCCCATAATTCTTTCTGTAAATATTACAAAAATCTTACTAACAATTTGGATTATTTTTGCTTTCAAATTTTATCTCTCTACATGTGCTGTTAATAATTGTCTCCAAGAAACGTCAACGTTTATTTTTCATAAAGTATACACAATATTTTCGTATATATATAAAAATAAAAAAAAATATGTACATAAAGATAAAGAAAACGTCGAAAAACAGATTCTATCGCTCTCTCCTTTCGTTTTGCATGTTTGCCAAGTTCGCGCGTAGCCGAAACTCAACTGTCTTTCGCTAGCACGCGTGCTGTAACTCGTTCTCCACCCACCGAAGGATCGAAGTGAGCAACGGTCCTGGAACCTGTTTCGAACCGTTTGAGAGTCTCTGCCCTGCCTTGTCCCTATCGTCCATCCCTCACTCCCCATCTTTTTCCCGCCTGTTATTCCACCTTTTGCACCTCCTCGTCGCTCGTTCGTTTCTTTTCTCTTCCCTTCGTAACATTCTCTCGTCATCTCACTTTCTCCCCTCCTCCCTTTCTCTCTTTCTCTTTCTCTCGCTGGTGTCGGCTCCGCGTGCATGTATTGGCTCCGGCGCGTAACATCATGCACGTCATCGTCACAAAGATGTGTACGCGTGTCTCTCCGTCGATTCTCCATACGAAGGAAGCTGGAGGAACATGAACCAAGATGGGTCGACGGATGAATGAGAAGGAGAAAACGGATGGGGGAGGAAAATGCCGGAGAAGAGGACGGCAGGAGGCGTAGAGGCAACGACGAAGTGAGAAGAGCGAGAAAAGAGAAGAAAGAGGAGGGAGGGGAGGGGGGGGGAGAAGGGCAAGAGAGCGCTCGGTCGACGCTGGGATGGCGAGGCGGATGGGGTACGGCACACGCCACACGCCATCATAATGGAATAATGAGGCAGAGACGATAGCAATCGCGCAGAGGCTCTTTTTCCGCGCAAAGACGAAGCGTGTATTGAAGCGCCCGTGAGAGATGTGCCGCGTACGAGAGGAACGCCATAGAGACGAATTGAGCAAATCAGAGCCACATCCGATGAGGTCAGATCGACCCGGTCATGCCTCCAAGACTGCGTGTTCTCGACTGGCAGAAATAAGTGGAGGATACGACGGAGGAATGTAAGAAATCTTTTATCGCGCGCCAGCAATTAATAATATAACGTGAACAATGTATTCGATAATGAGATGCAATGCACAATAAAAAAAAAAAAAACCCGATATCAATGCAGTATATCTTTACTATCATATTCATAATACGTGATTAATAATAATATCTTGGTTACGGTATTATGATTTTTTAAACGCGCGCGTGCTACGTACGAAAAATAATAACATTATCTATTGAAAAAATTTGAAATTACTTATCGCACGACCTAATCTTTCGAATTGTTCACGCGAAAAAGTGAGATAATTTTGCAGATACCGTCGTCGCGTTAATAAACAATGTAAAAAAACACATAAATCAATCATATATCGTAACGTGACACAAATGTTAAATCACATTAGCCAAAATTCTTTCATACGATAATGAAGAAAGAACAAGGGCAACGGTAGGAGATTACAGCCGGAGAAGAAGAAGCAGTGGCACGTGACCCCGAAGAACACCAGAGTCAACTCGCTTAAGTAGCCGAGCTCTGCTCTTTGACCCAGCCGACAATTTCGAATTATGTCTCTTAGAAGGAGAGAGAGAGAAGAGAGAGAGAGAGAGAGAGAGAAACAGAGAGCGAGCAAGAGAGCGGATATATAGTCAGAAGCAAGCTCTCTGCGCGACGAAGGTAACGTTTATTCGCAACTTCTCGTATCTAAAGCGACCGGAATGCTAATCCGGTGTCGCTCGTGGCTTCGCCGTAATTAGTCAAGATGAAATGGTACAAGAGAAGCAGGCGTGCGTTTTATCTGCAACTCGTTGAATAGAAGAGCAACGCGCTAAGAAAAAGCTAAGAGTATATGATCTTACACGAATTATCTCATTGAATTATTCGCGACAGCAGAGTTTACTCCGCGATTGCGATGTCCGCGACACTCGTCCTCCAATTTTTTCGCGCTCATCGCACAAATTGATTGTTATTTCACTTATTGCAGCAAATATTACTCTCATTCCACGTCATCGCGATATAAATCCTCTTGCACTTCGAGCGTGCGCGCGCGCGACCTTAATTTCTTGATACGATAAATACGAAAGCTTTTTTCTTTTTTTTTTTTTTGGAGTACAGCCAAATGCGATAATTCCGCGGCAGATCACTTCGCGAGAGCGACTCGTGCCCTGCGGAGAATCGCTGCGGAGTCTACAACATGCGTAGTTGTAGTTTGCTGAGGAAGACAAATGATCCACTCCGACGCGAGACAGTTAGCGTACGGGCGAGAGGCGTTGGCCACGAAGAAGCGCCTCTCGGTTCGAAGCACGCCCTGAGGCACAAGCGGAGCCGACTCATTCGCTTGATCTCCATTGCCATTATGATATTAATGAAATGCCGCTAAAAAGGTGTGTTTGCTCGGTAACACGAGGCCGAGGGTGGGAGGAGAGGCGAGAGATAGATGCTGAGCCTACGTAAAATAGCCCGATATGGCCGCACGCGCGCTTGTTGCCATCGTCGTGGCGATTTGTGTTGTAGCAATGTTGTTTCCGTCGTAGTTGGTCGTTATCGTCGGCAGCATTTGCGACGTCGTCGCCAGCGGCACTACCGCCGTCGGTTTCCGCCGCCGTCTTCATCGAGATTTTTAAATTAAATTGCCCCCCGCGTCCCTCCGCCCGGCCACCATCATCATCGCTCTTATTCACACTAATTCGAGAGTTTGTATCTTTAGCCGGAGAAAAATAGCGCGCACTGAATACGCGCGCTTATTCCGTTGGCGGCATTCAATGCGAAAACCGAAGACTCCAAGGCGAGAAGCTTTCTCGGCCGGAGGACAAAATCAGTTCAAGCTGCGAGGCTAACGACCTATGAACCCTTTGTCGAACGGCAATATCATGAGGTAACCCGATCCATTCTGGATTTTGCTGGTCCCGCGTCCAGCTACGATCTTCCCGCTAAAATCGCCGCCGTGAAATCTCATCATTTTTCAATTTCGCCCGTTTTACGATGATTCTCCGCGTTGTGTCACCGATCGATTAGGTGTCTTCCGGTACGCACGTAAGAAGAAGATAAGAAAGAAGAAAGATAAAGGAGAGCCGCAGAAACCGGAGGAGTGGAATTCGCGGGGATAAAGGAAGAGAGAAAGAGATGAGGGAAAAGAGGACATGCTTGAAGAAGGAGACGGAAGAAAGAGAGGCTCTCCCTCTCCCCCTTCTCTCTCTCTCTCTCTCTCTCTCTCTCTCTCTCTCTCTTTCCTCTCTCTCACGGGGGTCGCCCACGCCGATGACGTCATCCGGCGAACGTTGGTTGTGGTACCAGCGATGAACGCGTTGGTGTTCAAACGTTCGGGGCACCGAGAAAGAGGAAAGATTGACGAGACAGAGAGACGCTATCGTGCCTCGAGGAAGGGAACACGAAGCCGGTCGGCGGGCACCGAAGG